CACAGGTGTCAGTGACAACACATGTGGGCGAGGCTGCATGCTATGGGTGTGCACAGGTGTCAGTGACAACATGTGTGCAAGGCTGCATGCTATGGGCACGCACAGGTGTCAGTGACAACATGTGTGTGAGGCTGCAAGCAATGTCTGCAAAAGCAAAAAAAAAAAAAGGCAGGACACCTCCTGACCTCTCTTATCAAAAGCAGTTGGCGCAAATGCACATACTGTGATGTGGCGTGTGTGTACAGTGAAGTCCCTTGGAGCTTGAAGACACACACACACCATGATGTGGCATGTGTGTACAGTGAGGACCCTCAAAGCTCAGAGGATGTAGAGCTTGCTAGGATGGCAGTTTACTGAAAACTATCCGGTGCAGGACAGTGAGTTCAAGTCACACATTGTGACAAAAGACAGGACAGTAAAAGTGCACATGTCATATTATGTTTGCATTTTCATAAAGAACTTTAGAAGGATACAGCAAAACCCAACAAAACCTTTGGTAGTGTAGGAGCAGGGAAGGTGAGTGAATAGATGGGAATAGGACTCTACTGTGCATTTCCTTAAATTTTAATGCGCTTTTATATATTAAAAAAAATAAGGTTCAGCACATGAAGCCCATGAAAACTGTAGGTGGCTTAATGACGTGTGTGCATGCATATAAGGGAAGTGGACATCTGGGGTACAGAGGAAACAATGGATTCTGGGAAAGCCTTGCTTGCAGGTCATCTGTTCTACCCCCCAGCTTCTGTGTAACCCAGCAGAGAAAGCATTACTCTGGTGAGTGAGAAATCAAACTTGTTCAACGGGAAGGAATGGGGAAAAGTAAGAAGCAGTGGGGCTGGAGAGAGGGCTCCATTCCAGAATTCCGAGCTCCGAAATCTGGGTACCCTCCTCTTTTGCAAGGAAGGTAAGACACAGCCCTGTTCCTTCCTTTTCTACCGTATACTACCTCCAAGTGAGACCGCCCCTTGTAAAGCAAGGAATCTGCGATACCTGGGCTTGTTCACAAGGAAACAAGAAGACAAAGGCTGCAGGGGTGCCAAGGCCAATTCTGCTTCCCACTAATCAGCCCTGGCCACGGTGCTGGTGAGTATCTTGGCCATCATACCGTGTTATGTGGTGGAGGTGGCTGGGTTGGGACACTGGGTTGTTGGGGGTGGGGAGGCAGGTAGGGGGGCAGGTAGGGGAGCAGGTAGGGGAGCAGGTAGGGGCTCTCAGACTCCAGTGCCACTCACATTTCCAGAACCATGACAATGTTGGCCTTTTCCTCAAAGGCATCCACACACTGGACCAGCTTGGGGTGGTGGAGGCAGTTCATGATGCTGATCTCCTCCCGGATGTTCTCTTTCTCCTTGGCGGAATAGGCCTTGAAAAACTTCCCTGCCCAGATTTTTCCAGTTTTCTTTTCCACAAGTCGGAAGACTTGTCCAAACTTCCCACTGTCAATGAAAGGAAAGAGAAAAGATGAGTTGAGTCAAGTTCTCTACGAAGTTGGGGTGGCAAACTATAGCCCGTGAGGCAGATCTGGCCTTACTCTTTTTATAGTAGAGACTTACTGGACACAACCACACATCTGCTCAGCTGCATAGCGGAGTAGTCAGGATTCAGGAGTGTGGCTCAGACCTAAAATACTCTTGACTAATGAAGAACATCCTACTTCATCTTAAGGGTGGACTTCTTCCCTTCCTTGTGCCGGGACCCCTGAAGAAGGACTGAGGTCCTCCTCCAAAACCAGAACTACTGAACGGCTGTCCTCCCTCCGTTCTAGCACAGATGCTCTGGAGGGCAGGACAGACTGGCTTCCCCTGCTGGGAGCAGGGAACTCTCCTTATTCCAACAGGACGACTGACTTCCCAGACTGGTAAGAGGCCTACATTGTGCCCTCGGTTCCCCCAAACCACCAGAAATAAAAGCTGAGTCATATTGTCTTTTTTTTTTTTCCTTTAAAAAAATACAGCCCAGAGTATCCTCAAACTAATGACGACTTTGTCTTGGAACTTCTGATCCTCCTGCTTTCACCTCCTGAGTGCTGGGATGTGCACCATCACATCTGGTTTATGTGCTGCTGGGGGTGGAATCCAGGTTCTTGTGCTTGTTAGGCAAACACTACCTACTCAACTACCAACTCAGCTACCTGCCTCCTACCCCACCATTCACGTAAACTCTTATGCTTCTCCAGAGACTGAGAGCTGGGAGAGATGCACAGCTTGTTGGTGTGTGAGCAGTGGCGTCTTTTATGTCCTAGGGAGGGAGGACCAGTCAGTGGCAGCATGGGGCTAGTTCGTCTAGAACGGTGAGGCTCCCGGGGGCATTCCTGGCAACCCCAAAGTTGGCGCAGCTGCAGAGAAAGTGCTTGCCAGGCCCAGCTACTTCATACCCAATGCAAGGGATGCTAAAGAGAACTGATTCAGACCTGGTCCTTGTGTTTGAGGGCTGTGCTGTGGGCAGAGGCACAGAAGGCCTGGCCTGAGGCTCCTAGAGAGCAGAGTCTATAGAGAACAACAGGAGTCGCTCCAGAGTGGGGCCCTGGCAAGGGATGGGCTTGTGAGTCATTCCCTCCTGGTCTATAGACACTCAGTGGGAGGAAGCTGTGTTTAGGACAGCACAGGAAGAACACTGGGGTGAACTGGGGTCCTGCACCACCCTCACCCTGGGACCCAGAGGCAGTTGGAACGCCACTTACGATCCCAGTCGCTCTTCAATGTCATACACATCAGATACTTTCTGTTCAGTGTTAACTGTTACTGTCCGATAATCGACCTCAGGTTCCTTTTCGTCTGCAGGGGGGCACAGGTCAGGGTGAGCGTGAGCCATCGGATTCCCCCTCTCAGCCCCTCCATCCCAGGAGCCTGTCCCAAAGACAGCTGCCCTCACTCACCGTCATCTGACACTTCCACTTCGTCCTTTGGCTCTGGAGGAGAGAAGGCAGGGCAGAAAGGACATGGTGGTTAGTACTGAAGGCCACCTAGAGCAAGGCATGCTGTGGGCTTTTCCAGGTGCCCGCACACCTGGATCGCAGGGGCATCCCCTGAAGTGGGCCGGTACTCACTGTAAAAACAGCCAGATGCAGACTGGCAAGTTCTGGCCTCCTCATCCCAGCCTTACTCAGCCACCATGTCTAACAGTCGTCCCCTCCTCTCACCCAGTGACTCCCCAGACATCTCCCCTTCCACATTTCTTCCAGTCTTTTTGGTATTTCAGAACCTACACACCACTGTCACAGTCTCTGTTTTCCATGGCCTGGAAGCGAGCAACCTATAAGTATTTTCATTGTTATGTCTGTTTGTACATTTGTTGAACATTTGTTATTGAATTCTAACAGTAGAGCAAGCATCTTGCCAGTTATGTGGGCACATGACATGACATAACACACACACAAGGCATAGTCTCCCCTCCCTCCCTGAAGCTTATAATTTACTTATATAGGCAAAAACATAGACATCTGAAGTAAGCATCAAGTACATATGTCACAGAATGAGGCAGGTACCAGTGCGGCGCCAGAGGCACAGTGAGGAAGGTGATGCAGCACAGGACGGTGATAAAGCCTGCAACTGTTCTCAGAAGGAGCCCTTGAGTGGTCTCCCAGAAGACAGGATACAGTGAGGGTGAACGAGGGCACACAGGTGAAGCCAGCAAGTGTCCGTGAGTGACCCGTGCCAGCCACTCTCATACAGATGCCAGGAGCCAGGGCTAGAGAGGAGACAGGTTAGATGACCCCAGACCTTGTCTACCTCAGAGCCCTAGGGTTTCCTCTGCTCGGACATACATATATCGTCCTGATCTCGGCTGAGTATCTTTCCCATTCTGAACCCCAGGTTCCTTGTCTGTAAATGGAGCTGTGCAGGTGACTCCGAGTGGCTGGGCTAGCACTATATAGCACATTGTGTAATGTTTTGTACTCCTTCAGCCATCGTGGGGACCATGACTGATGGATGGATGAAGTGAGGTGTCCTGAGGAAACAGAGAGAGGACATGGCAAAAATCAAAGCGATGACAGGGTCATTAAAATGGAAATGTGTGAGTGTGTGAGGGAGTGTGTATGCGTGTGGAAGTATGTGTGAGCCAGTGAGTCTGAGTATGTATACATGAGATGGTGTGTAAGGATGCGAGCACAATGATAGTGTGGAAATGTGTGAAAACATAAGTATATGTGGGGGGAAGTGAAGAGGGGTGGCAGAGAATAGTGTCAGTATGCGTGTGACAGTGTTAGAAGAACGTGGATGTGTGAGCATGTGAGCGTGGGACAGTAAGGAAGTGTATATGCAGAATAGTGTGGAAGTGTGTAAGGGTGGGTAAGAGGAGAGTGTGGCTGTGTGGAACTGTGAGTGAGTGTGCACACATGGCATAGTTAGAAACTGTGACATCACTATCTGAGGGCTATCGTGTGGGACTGTGTGTGAGTGGGAGGGCTGAGAGGGTATGTGTGCATGGGATAGTGGACAAGTGTGTGAGAGTGTATGTGTATAGAGGAGCTTTGAAGTGTATGAGAATGTGAGTAGATGTGTGTGGAGTATTATGGGATGGTGGGAGTGTATGTGGGGGGGCATCCTGGAGGTGTGAGTATGGAGGCGTGTGAGCACATTTATATAGGATAGCAGGGGACTGTATGACTATGTGTGTGTGACAGTGTGGAGGTGTGTGACTATGTGGAATGGCTCAGAAGTGTGTGTGAGACAGCATGGAAGTGTATGGCTATCTGTGTGTAGGTTGGTGTGCAAGTTTCTAGCTGTATGTCGGTAGGTTAGTGTAGAAGTGTAACCCACATGCACATGGCCTAGTGTGGAGGTATGTAAGAGTGAACACATGTGTGAGGGAATGTGCAAGTGTGGGAGAGTGTTGGTGTAAAAGTGTGAAATATATGTGCAAGGGACAGCATGAGCACGTGTGTTTTCCTGAGTGCCTTTGTATGTGCGTGTGAGGGATAGTATGTTGTGTGTAAATGTGTGTATAGATGTGAAATAAAATCAGTGCGTAAGTGTCAGTTAGAAGTGTGTGTGTGAGAGAGAGAGAGCGTGTGGAAGTGTGTTAGAGTGTGGAAGTGTGTTAGAGTGTGGAAGTAAGGCAGGAGGAAAGGCCGACTGGCAGAAGCTGCCACCAAAGCAAGGCTGGCGGGGAGCGCCTGTGGGGTGCGTGTCTTGTGAGAACAGTGTAGAGGGCCTGGCAGACACGGCTGGTAGGGAGGGCTGTGCACTGGCGTGCTGCATTCTGCAGGGCTTGCAAGGTCCTCATCTGCAATGGAGGTGAAGGCCAGGAAGCAGGTGCAGCTGGGCCTGTGCACAGCAAGTGCCTCCTTTAGACTGAGGACAGAACACACGGGGATCTAAACAGACAACCAGAGGAAAACTAACCCAGGCCCACCGAAGGTAAGTACCTCTTGCCAAAAAAGAGTTCCGAGAGTTTATGAGCATAAAACCAGAAGCTGTGATCTGTTTAGAGTTCTTAAAATGCTGCGGATGAAGTTTAGTTTTAGAAACCTAAACACAAGGGGCCTGGGAAGAACAACACAGAGAACAGCATGGGAAAGCGAAGTGCACAAGGCAGACGAGGACAGGGTTGGTGTGGACGGGAGCTAACGATTCGTTCTTCGGAACCTACACAGTTGGCTCGGAGTGGCACTGTGTAGCTCAGCAATGACAAGGGTGACCTAAGGGCAGTGCTCCTAGGCCTTAAGGGTGAGAACTCAGGGAGGACTTAGAGGTGCCGCTCTAGGGAGGGCTGTGAAACCCACCCCAGGAGCAGTACTTCTGCTCACAGCTCTGCCCAACAGAACACCACACTGGGGATGACGGGTGGATTGGTCTGTGGCCCTTCCTAGAGCTTCGGGCATCTGTTCCCAGGGCTAGCTGTGGGCAGCTAGAAGGCTGTGATGGAGCTGGACAAGCGCGCAGAGTTGCTAGGAGGAGGGACCACCGTGGCCAGTTAGAAAAGGTTGGGAACCCACGCGAGGGTGGAAACAGGCTACAGACTGTTCACCACATATGAACACTAAGTTGGGGGATCGTCCATGTCATGTCTCCCACAGGAGGACTGGAGGCATATAGAAGTCATGCAAGGATGTCCCAGAATAATAGGGTCAGCAGATGCTTGGACTAGTTCAGTGATGATATTCCACACAGGGTTCTAAAGGAAGCAGAGATCCAAGGACAGTGGTCCGTGACTCTCTGGTAGCTGCTAGTCACCCACCCAGGTCTTCCAGTTGATGAAACAACATGTCTTACCAGGAAGTCCCATTGCCCTGACCTGTGCTGTCCGGTCTGAAAGAGTTCTTCTAATTTAATTTAATCAACACCCTTCATTTTCTTTGTGTCCGGTTACATCCTGCCAGTGTTCTACAGAGCGTTCCAAGCAGCAGAGTATGGGAAAGCCAAGGCAGGCTTTCTTGGTCTGGTGTCTACAAAACTGGTTTGTGCTCTGCTTGGGAGAGGCCTTTCCAGCCACCTAGTGCAGGGTTTTTCTCAGCCAGCCTCGGAGAGGGATTTAGTTTTGGAGCTGGCTTCTTCCCATTACCCTGACTCCAATCACAGAGTTGGCTTTCTGGCTTGCCCGCCTTCGTGAGCACCATGCCTGCCCTCACACCTCAGCTTATCTACTGTGGTTGGGGACCAGTCCCTTTTCTCAGAGATTCAAGTTGCCCTCTGCACTGTTCAGGGTAGCTTTCCTCTGGGAGTACTCGCTGAGATCCCGGGATGCTGCCCTGTGTCTGCCTTCTCGTCTAGCCTCCTTTCCAGTTGTGGGGCAAGCAGATGGGGGGAGGGGAAGAGTTGAGGGAAATCATGGCTCAGTGAGCTGAGCTCCCAGACTACGAACAGAGGTAGCCATCTCAAAGGTGAACCCTTGGTTTCTCACTTTCCATGAAGGAAATGAAGGAAGGAGATAAAATTACAAAAGAGGACCTCAACTAAATCTTTTTTTTCCAGTCATTTCGTGGGCTGGAGAGCTGGCTCAGGGATTAAGATCACTGGCTGCTCTTTCATAGGACCCAGGTTTGATTCCCAGCACCCACATGGTGGCTAACAACCACCTCCAATTCCAGGGAATCTGATGCCTTCTTCTGACCTCTTCGGACATCAGGCATGCACATGGAGCATAGACATAGGGGCAGAACACCCATGCACACAATTTTTAAAAAATCTATTTAGAATGAACCATAGCCTCAAGAGCTCAGTGGAAGAGCTATTTGGAAGAGGGTTAGGAGATGCTTCTGTAGACAGATGAGCCTCATTACCATGGATGATGTTAGGAGAAGACAGGCAAAGCTCTGGGACCCCGGACCCCTCACAAAGCAGGACCCTTAAGTCTCCATGGCGGAGCTCTGTACCTTTTTGTGCAGAGGACTGCAATGTGTGCAGTGAACACTAGAGGGCAACCTGGCTCTGGGTACCACTTTCGGGAGCCCTGCAGAGCCTCAGCCTAGCCGTGCAGTTCCAATTGCCCTTGGGTGCAAGGAGCTGAACTGGCAAGCAGCCTAGGCCACAGCTGTTTTGCTAATAACACTGTAGCACAGAACAAATTAGGAGCAGGGGCTAGGATGGAGGGGAGTTCAAAGGCAGAGCGGGATTAGCCGGGAGTGGAACCCAAGCCTCAGCTGGAATGGGGCATCGAGGTAGAGGGCTCTGTTTGCCTGGTGAAACTGGGCAGGATGTTGTCAGGTCAGGGATAGGAAAGATGGCTCTGTCATCGGGGAGTCACTGGAGCTGGTGGGAAGCCCTCTTTGTCTGTCTCCCACTGGATCCCCAGTGTCTGGGGGCAGCCCCAACACTGGAGGGACACAGGATGCCTATGGATGAATTAGAGTGAGGGATGGGTTGAAAACAGATGGAACTCAAAATCAAGAGGAAGCAGAAGACAGAAGCTGCTAGGATAAGAGTGGTAAGTCAGGCAACACAAGCTGGGCTTTGTGGAGTGAGTGCTGATTGGCATTACGTTTAGTAAGACCCTCATAGCCCGTTACTCCACTGATGCAACCTCCTGTGACCTCTACTTCCCCTGCCTGTCCGCTAATGCTTCCAAACTCATTCCCCACCTACGCTTCCCAGAGAACCATCTCCTCTTTACCCAGAGAGAGCTATCTTTGCTGAGAACTCACAGCACCCGAGGAATCCACTGAGGACTTTGACTTGGGGCATCCCTACCCTCTTCTCCCACTCCCTTTTCCTCCTCTCCGTCACCCCTTTGTCCCCGTCTTTCATTCTCAGGCCTAGCTTGTGCAAACTGTCCTTCCCCCTCCTCCTCCCTCTTGGATAAGACAACCAAGCCTGGAGTGGGAGTAGCTTCCTGTCTGGAAGCCCTGGGTGGCCTGGACCCTTCCTTTGGATTTCAGGCAATTGCCCACTTCGGTTTGTCTGCAGCAAACTCTCCTGTAGTCCGGGAGGCTACATAAGAGTTCAAGGGCAAGGCCACTGCCCCCCAGCATGGCATTCCCCATAATCCTGAGCACGGCAGCCCTGGCCTCCTGAAAGTCAAGCTACACCTCCATTAGGGCCCCTGGGCTGATTAGGGATCTGGTTGCTCTGGGTTTCTACATCAGGGCCTGGGTGACTTCCAGTCCAGCCAGTGACCATGTTTTCTCTGTATCTGTCACTTCCAAAATAACATCCGCAAAACACTCCCCGCTCCACCTATTCTGCCTGTTCTCTAAGTCGTCCAGTGCAGAAGGATGGGGTGTGTTGGAGCGTTAAGAGGCAGCAGATGGTGGCTTTGTTATTTGGCTTTCCCCAACATACATTTGTAAGCAGCCAGTGGATGGGAGCCATGAGCCAAGGCCCAGGCCAGCCTCCTCTGTGGCAACTGTGGCTATCCAGGGAGCCTGTATCCATCCCGAGGAGGGTTAAGAGTGAAGTACCCAGCATGCAGCTGGCTGGCTGGTGCATAAAGTTGGTGTGTTTTCTACTTCCTTCTACTTCCTTCTACTTCCTTCCTCTGGAGCCCTCAGTTGAGGGCTGTTTCATACCTACTTTTGGAAAGCCAGGAGGTCATCATGAAGACAGCTACACAGAGAATGCTCTGGGTTACATGGGACTTCCAGGGTGGTCTCTCCCCGTCTCCTTTAGTGCCTCACCATGCTGCCTACTTGACACCCCGAATGTCTCTCTAAGAGCATTGTCCCTTCTGTTCTCCACCTCTGTTTTAAATCCATAGTGTTCTTCTTCCTCTCTTTGCATAAAATTCAGCAAAACACCCCACACTCTGGCCTCTCTCTCATTCACCCCCTCACCAGGGCAACCATTTCCCCACCCTGTGCAAACTCTATGGACTTCTATTTCAAAGATCACTAGAACACAACAGGCAATTCCAATGACCCCGTCCCTAGCTCGTGGTCTTTAGCATTTAGTGCAGTACACTTGCAACTTGCCCCCACCCCGTGTCTACAGTGAACTCAGATTTCTCACAGTCCCTTCTTCTAGCCTCACAGGCTTTTACACTACGGCACAAGTGCTGACCTTTTCTAATCTCTGGGTGACCTACTTGGTGTTATCCAGTTCTCCATTAAACAGCAAAGCTTTCTGAAACTATAGCCCTTGTTTGAGCCTTCCTCCCTTCAGGTATCCCCCCCTCCCTTCAGGTATCCCTCAGATACCTCTACTAAACTAGTCTGAAACCAAAACCCTCCCACCTCCCAGTCTTTGGTATCAAGTTCCCCAAGTCAGTGCGGGGACAGCCGACAAACCTCTTCCCTCAGTCTGACCAAAGGAGAACAAGCTCTGGCCTAGACAGCTCTGGGTTCATGTTGCCATTCACAAGCTCTGTGACCCCACCCCTCTACCTCTACTTCCCCTCTGTCCGAGGAGGGCAATGGTGGTAGTGCCATGTCACTGGGTTATGAGGACGGAAGCATTGAATGTAAAAATGAGGATGTTGTCAGCATACGGCAGATACTCGATGATTAGCATCAGCCACACGCCTTAAAATAATAACCCTCTAAGTGTCTCTTGAATGTGTGCTAAGTTATCTAAGCCAGGAACTAGGGAGTCATCTTGGAATCCTCTCATCTCTCTCTAATCCCTCATCCAAAAACTCATCAAGAGTGATATACTCTACCCTATGGAGATTTAGTTCATGTTCCTTCCCTATCCCTCTACCAGACTGGGATCGCAGAGGCTCATGGGGACCTGGCTGACTCCAGACTCACCTTCTACGCCATCACCAACTGTAGGCCTTCTCAAATGTTCATGGGTATATGAATGCCTTCAGGAGCAAAATGAGGCTTCAGGGAGCCAGGGGATACCCAGGCTGAGAATACACAAGGTTGCCACACTGCAGTCTTATTTGAGTGGCAAAGCTTTACTGCCTCCCAAGTTTGCTTTCTAACAGACCAGCCACATCATCTCCCTCTCTTGTCTGCAAAGCTTTGGCGAACACTGTGATTTTATCTAACTATCCTTTTCACTTCCTTCTGTTTCATCTCACATAACCTCTGCCCTCGCCACACTTAAGCTTCTCAAATGCCACCTGCTTCTGTCACTTCCTACCCTTGCACAGGCTGTGTCCTTTGTGTGGAATGCCCTTCCTTATCTCCCCTGCTTCTCGGTGTACCAGTCCCTTTTCCAAGACACAGCTTAAGTGTCAGCTCCTCCAAGAAGCTTTTCAACCTCCCTGGCAGGATTTTCCACGCTTACCGAGCTACCCTTCCCTCTCTTTATTTACATCACCCTAGTGAGGTGCATCTGTCTCTTTGTAGCTGTCTGTGTATATTCCTCCTTCAACTTGAGTTCCCTATCTTATCTGTCCTGTAACCTAAATCCTGACGTGGAGCGGACACTCACCTGTGAGAGCAACAAAAGTGGGGAAGGGGTGAGAGGTGAGCAGAGGAACCTGAGGTCTGCCTGACAACCCGCCTGCCTATGAACACAACACCATCACCCTCTGGTGGCAAGGTAACGACATTTCTGGTACCATGTTTTCCTTCACTGAGTATGATATCAGTGGTAGCAGGCATCGTACCCTAGGAAGATATTCTGACGCTGACCTACAGCCTCAGCGCCTTGGCTAATGAGTTTTTGAAAGGCCGTAGGAACTTCTTTCAAAGGATGGGTCAGCAACACGGTCTGAGAAAGTAAGACCACCAAAGATACTGCCAGCCACTCCTCCATATCCAGTCTCTCTCTCTGTGAACCTCCCAACCTCTGTAGATTTGGTCCAAATTCATGCACATTTATTTCAAGCCCAGGAAGAAATGAAGGCAGCCTACCCTCAGGTTTCTCTCCTACGGCTGTGAGTTCAGACTCCTGGCTCGGCTCGCTGGTTCCATAGACGTTGACGGCACGCACCCGGAATTTATACTCGCGGTCAGGCAGCAGGTCTTGGACATTGTAAGAGGTGCTGCGGCAGGTGGCTAGTTCCTTCCACATCTTGTCCTCTGTGTCCCAGATCTCCACATTGTAGGACTGTACGGCACTGCCTCCATCATAGGACGAGCCATACCAGGACAGGGTCAGCGAGGAACTCCGTATGTCAGATGCACAGGGTGTGCCAGCTGGGGGGTCTGGCTTATCTGGGGATGAAGAAGCACAATGCCACGCAAATTTGATAGGACTGCAAAAGAAGAACTTCCCTCAACCCCAATGCTGGGAATAAAATCTAGGATGCCTCTCTCTCGTGCACACACCCCACTCCAGAATCAACCAGTCCTAAACTGAAACATTCTTGAGTTAGCTCTGCCTTGAGGAGAGCTGGGTAGTGAATTCAAGCTCTCGACCTTTCATACAGCCTGGGTTAGCAATGCACAAAGCTACCAGTTCTGAAAGTCCCACGTATACCTTCCTGCTTGGAAGAACTGCTATCCTGGGCAAGTTATGCAGACCACAAGTTACGCTTTCCTGTACTTGGTCCAAGTCATAAACAATTTTTTTTCCAGAGTAAACAGATCTAGGAAGCTATGTAGGACCTTGGACTATTTTCCATGAAAAATACGTTTTGAGAGAAAGTGGTGTGTGTCCGTGTGTGTGAGAGTGTGTGTGCGTGTGGTACCATGTGTCTTTCAGGCTCAAGGTCAGTGACCTGTGACATCACTTTCTCTGGAACTTGGGAAATGCTGTCCCATTAAGGTGCTTGATAGCACAGCAGATAAGTTCTTAATCAGGTAGATCTGGCTTTGAACACAGATCTGTCCCCGCTCAGGAGCTATTAAATGCTGTGCCTCAGTTTCCTCATCTGGACAGAGTGCTGTGAGGTATTCTTAGAATGCGGCTGACTTGACCAATGGTTATTGTTACTAAGAAGCTTATTTCTAACCGTATAGTGGGAAAAAAAAAACAACCCACTTCTGTATTACCTCTTCGTTGCTGTTTTGGGTTTTGGTGCTGCAGAATACCATACATGCCGAGCGCATGCGTTCCCACCAGGCAGCAGACCTTACCCAACACCTTCAACTCTCATGGGACTGGAATGCAGAAGGGAGCCACAACTGTAAACCATCGCTGTCCCTGACTAAGGGATAGAAAATGGACTGAAGGCACAAGAGAGAAGGGGCCCTTTTGGCTGGCTGCCTTCCCACTCAGATGACCTGGGCTCAGCCCAGTAATGTTGCTCATTTCAGCCATACTGCAGCAGCCAACAGTCTAACGAGGCCCCTGAGTTTCCCTGCATGCCGTGAGTTGCTTATCTGAACCAAACTATTTTTCTGATCCGTGTCTGCAGTTGTTTGGTTAGCTACATGTGTCTGTTAATTACAGAAAACCCTTCCTCCTCCACCAACCGAGTTCGAGTTCCCTTACAAAGAAGCAGTTAAAACCACATTGTGCGGATTTGTCTGTGAATGCCAGTAAATTTACGGCCAGTGTGTTTGTCTTTCTTACTGGGAAAACGGTGTTAACATGTAGCTCTTAGGATTTCTTCAAGTACCGAGTATACAAACACGGACAGGCAAGTAACTGACTTCCACCTCTTCTCTTACTCCCAGCCACACAGGAAGGCCAAAGAGATTCCGATAAACGGCCCTATGACCCAGTGAAGAAACATCTATATGTGCCTGTGTACACACACACACGGGTTTATGTATGCAAATATAAAAGTACATATTCATATGTACACACACATTCCTTTTCACTCCTCCTCCATTTTAATTCTTTTTTCCCCTCTATTTATGTATTTATTTATTTATGTATTTATTTAAATAGGGTCTCATGACCCACATTGACCTTGAACTCATCCTCTAGTCAAGGATGATCCTGAGCTTCTGATCCTCCTGACTCCACTTTAGAGTCCTTTGATTGTAGGCAGTGCCAGGACACCTGGTTTATGTGGTGCTGGGGCCTAGAACTCAGGGTGCCATGTTGGCTAGAGAGGCGCTCTATCAGCTGAACTCCACCCCCAATCTCCTGTCCCCTTCTTCCATATTCCAGCTTAATATTCACTGCCTGGTGCCTTTTGTGCCCAGAAACCAAAGGCTGGCTCTACTCTAGGAGTGACTCCGGGATCATGCCAGAGCCACCTCCCATCACTGCGCCCGGGGTCACAGCCACACTGGTGGCCTCTGCAATGGAGTCACTTTCACTGGTTGTTTAAGATGTTCTCTTAGAAGATCTGTTTGCTCTGAAGGATATATTGGTCTTTTTTAGAAACATTTCTGGTGTTGGCAAAGATGTTTATTATTCTAAATCCTCTTAGAGGCAAGTGGTTCAAGTCTTCTGGAAACCAGCTAAGGAAGTAAAAGAGCCTGCTGGGGGAAGAAAGTTCTCACTGTCCCCATCCCAGGCCTCCTGGCAGATGCAGTCATGGAGGTTTAGACAAGCGAAGACCCTGTCCATTGGCCGATTCCCTCCTCTCTGCTTTGCTTTGGAAACAGCAACTCGGAGAGCTCAGCGTTGCTCAAGAGCTGCTGCGTGTGCCGGCCCTGAGGCAGACGTCTCTAATTTACGTGGGATGGAGTTTCTCTCAGGCAGCACAAGAGAAGGTGCAGAAAGTGCAGAGGGAGGCGTACATTCCAAGTAAAGCGCTGCCACTGCGAAGGAATTTGGTGCCCAGGAAAGAGTTCAGAAGTCCTAGAAGTTTGGGACCCCTCCTCCACCCGTGTCCTCAGAGCCAAGAGCTGTGTCTGCTGCTCTCTATTCTTTCCAACCCACGGAGCCCACATGTGTCCAACTACCCAGCGATGAGAACCTTTATGTGGGACCAGGGTTCTCCCACGAGCCTATTTGCTAAAGACAGACACATTCAGCCTGGGCAGTACCTGGCAAACAAGAGACTGGTTTGGTGTCTGCAGTTGGACCCATGCTTCCTCAGAATTCTCCCAGGGCTCCCTGGAGACATGGCTGACAAAAATGGGAAACCCAAGGGTTCCTTATAGCTCCAGCTGCAAGATTTTGGGCTCAATAAAGGGTTCCTATTCCTGGGAAAACAGATGACCTTGTCTGTGAGGCTTCCCACTAGCCCAGCTTCCCCTTGCCCTCTGTGTGTTTGCCCACACAAAGTCTGTCTGTGAGCTTCTAAGCCTGCCTAGATGGCCATGCATAGATCCTGAATTCAACAGCCGCCGGTCTGAACTGCAGCACACTCTTGGAAAGGGACTCTCGGGGGCCGAGGCTGTGTTCAGCGTGCTGCTCAGTTTCAACTGTCAATCTGACACAACCAAGAATCAGCTGGGAAGAAATTCTTAACAAGGAATTATATAGAGCAAGGAATTATATATGTGGGCATGTCTATGGGGGAATGTCTTGATCACTAATTGATGCAGGAAGACTCAGGCCATCATGGATAGCTAGATTCCCCAGACGGGGGTCCTGAATAGTATGAAGAGGAAGACCTAGCAGAAAACAAAGATGCATTTAGTCTCTTTGCTCTTGGCTGTGGATGTAAAGTGAACTAGCTGCTCAAGTTCCAGCCTTGGGTGCCCTGATATGATGAACTTTAACCTTGAATCGTAAGTTAAATGATATCCCCCCCATCCCCGCCGCCCTGCTAAAGGTTGCTTTCGGCCAGGGTTCACTAACAGAGCAAACTGGAACACTCACTAGTCAGCGACAAAGGAGAGTCCCACAACTCTGTGCACCCAGACAGGGTTTGGTCCTTTCTAGGTTATCAGTCAGATTGAGATCATGGGAGCATCTTGTTTATACAGTTTGAATAAAGCCCCTCTAAGGACCATCCCCCACCCTTTCAAATCATACAAGTTTTAAACTCAGGTGTTTAGTGTATGTTGGGTGTTTAGGGTTCTCTCTGCTTTGTTTTTCTCCTTTAGAGTTAGGTAGAGGCCACTGCTCCTCCTCCCTCCTCCCCCAGGCCACACAGAACAGTGGTGCAGGCCCAGGCCCAGGCCATGCAGCATTGCTAATTCTTACACTGCTTCTGAAAATATAATAATAATTAGTCTCGGAAATAGCTAAGGATCCCTCAGTTAGTTTAAGTGCTAGTTTTTATTGATTTGAAAATATAAATCACGGACGATCTGGAAAGCAAACAGCTCTTCAAAGAATATGTCATAAGAGATCTCTGCAGCTAACAAGTACAAGTTGCGTTTAACTGGCCTTATTTAGCTGGCCCATCAAGTGGATGCTTCTCAAGTGCTTGAAAACTATCTGGCGTAGGTGGAACAATTTCTGTTTTATCTCATTTACGTTTACATCTACTTAGTAAACGCTGATCAGATAATATGCAGATGTCCCTGGAGACGCGGAGGTAAATCAGCTTAATCCTGGTTTACTTTGGCCTGAGTCTAAATTCATGGACTCTGAATGAATGTAGCCTTGCTGTGGCCATCAATACAAGTCCTCATTTTATTGAGTGATTCTATTCTTAGCTCTGGGGTGGGGGAGGCAGACAGAAAGCCCGCTCTCCATTCCATTCCCCTCCCAGGACGGCATTTAACATGTTGCTCCTGCCAGCTGGCAGGCGGCCACACCGATGGCCCTGTCAGCACTGGCCGGGGAGAATAAGAATCTCAACCATAAAAGGCCAGAACTGCAGCTCCTACAGTGGGACTGGGGGAGGGGAGCGTGGCACCGCACAGGGGCGGCCCCAGTGGGGGCAGGGAGTACCGGGTCCAGAAAAGCAGTTCGAAGTTTCTGAGTCCAAAGTCACTGCAACAGGGACAGATGAATGGGAAACACTGAGGAAGAGCAGGTCCTGATGCCTGGTGGGGGCACTGGGGTGTGAGTCAGCCAGTACTTTCAGGTATAGATCTAAATGCACAGCCAGCTGGATCACCAGGATCAATCCCCCAAAAGTTCCTGACTCCTTGGGAAATTATAGAAATCAACATCTAGAGTTATGAGACAGAGAGAGAGAGAGAGAGAGAGAGAGAGAGAGAGAGAGAGAGAGAGATTGGGTTCTCCTTTAGGCAAGAAACTCATTCCATGACCTCTTGGTACACTCACCTTCCAGATCTAGGGAAGCAAAGGAAGGGAGGAGTCGGAGGAAGATGAAATGAAGAAGGGACATGGGCCAGATTGATGGGCACTGAGTGAAGACACGGACAGGAAGCGGGAAAGGACAAGGGAGAAGCAGAGATAAATGGAGTCCATGGTGGGAGTGTGCACTGATGCTCTGTGTTCTCGAACTCCTTTTCTCTAAGATCTCACTCCTTCCTACTGCTTAGGACCTGGAGAGAGATGCTACAAGGTTCCCCAGGGCTCAAAGTGGGAAGCCGAGGTCAACAATGAATTCCCTAGCATGTGGCAGCTCTCCAGACTGCATATCACCAAACTGAGGTCCCCAGCTAGGTGTCTTCATCTTGGAGAAAATCTCCACTCCTCCCCCTTCCACAGGTCCGTGGGTACCTTTGAGAGTTTGAGGCTAATTCTCCCCTTGGTCTTCCTTCTGTGTGGTTGGAAACATACCTTTCCATTTGGGGCCTAAAGTGAAGATACGAGATAAAGATAGAAGAGGAAAACTGGGACCAAAGTCAAGGACCATAAAGTGACGGAGAAGGGAGCTTCTAAGTCATCGCCAACTGCCAACTTCATCCCTGGAAAGATTCCACAGATAGCTTCCTATGGGTGAATTCTAACCACTGTGGCCCCACGGCCTTTTCTAAAACTCTTTTGTTCTTGTAGATCCAAGGCTAGGCTGTGAGCCCTGCTGTGAAGCTGGGGTGTATTCTTCACACTGAACCCCAAAGGAGCTCCTTTTTCTAATTTTTACAAAGGAAACCCTATAAGCCTGAGTGCCAAGATCAACCGGGAAGCCCACTCAAGTCTAATGTGCACGCCAATGGTTACCAGGTCAAAGTTGTTCATGCACCCCACTTGTGGAGGCCCACACAGGCACAAAATAGCCTACTATCCACCTAGCTACCCTTCGTCCCTCTACTGTTCTGTGCACCTGCCACATGGGGAACCATGACCAAGGAAAGGCACTGAGCATTACCTATGGGAGGACACCACTCGGCAATTTAGATGTGTCAGAAGACAGATGGGGGCCCAGGAACAGTGACTGGGAAAGGGAACATGCAAACTTGAGACTCAGTCTAAATATGGGTTCAATTTAGTGGGGAGTCACAGAGAAGGAAAGGGAAAGTAGTGGGATTTAGAGTCACCGAGATCTCAGAGGAGCAGTCTCTGTAGACCAAGGGGCAGGTAGCCACAGAGTGCCGGGGGTGACGGAGCAGAGACTCCTCTGGCACAGGGTGTGCCCTGGGGTGGGGGTACAGAAAGCAGAGCCTGGCAGGAAGGCAAATCACTGCAGGAGGGTAATGTCTGTGTATTTGGCTAAAATATGGCAACTTCTCTCACTGCTGTGAGAAACAAGCAGAGAATGAAAAGTTGGGTGAAGTGAGGATGGTGGAGCCCCAGGAGCCCGGGAACTGGACCCAAGAAAAGAGATCCCACAGAGGCAAAGGGGAGCACTGGTGGCATGTCATACCTGGAGGCCACCAAGTTCAGAAGAGTCCTGCCTCATGTCTCGTAGTTCTCAGTGAAGCCAGAGGCTAAGGGCTCTGTAAGTGTGTTGGGAGGACGGGGAGCATGTGTTGGGAGGACGGGGAGCATGTGTTGGGAGGACGGGGAGCATGTGTTGGGAGGACGGGGAGCATGTGTTGGGAGGACGGGGAGCATGTCTCAAGAAACAGCATTGGCCTCTGGGCAAGGACAGAGTTCTGAGGCGCACTGATATCTCAGCTAGCCTGGGGGCACCAGACTGTAGCTTGGAGTGTACAGGTGATACAACCTTCATGTTCCAATGTCCTGTGGAGGCGGCATTGACCCTGGGCAGCGATTTACAGATACCGTATGGTGGTTTGAATCATACTCCCCCCAAAGTCTCCAACATTTGGATACTTGGTTCATGCCTTTTGCTTCCCCTCCTCCACCTCCCTGCTAAGTGTTTCCCAGACTTACCCACGACTGTGAGGTTGACTTGGGCCTGCCGGATGCCCAGCTTGCTCTCCACCACCAATGTGTAGCAGCCACAGTGCTCCTGGCGCGCTGCCAGGATGGTGAGCTTGCTGCCGCTCTCGCTGTTCTCCACCTTGATGTGCTCGCTCTCCTGGATCTGCAGGTAGAGGCGGGAGTGAAAAGGGGAGGCTCCTCCACTCTCTATTCCCAAGGACACGGGGCAGGGAGCAGGGGTTGGCCCCTTTTGTCTATTGTGGTGCATATCTGTAATGCCACTGCTGGGGATGGAGACAGGAGGATGCCTGGCACTTGCTGACCAGTCAGTCTAGCATAACTGGTGAACTCCAGGCCAATAAGACTCCTTGTCTCAAGGGAGGTGGATGGCTTGCCTGAGGATGACAGGGTAACACCTGAAATTGTCCTCTCTTTCTCTCTCTACCCCCCTCTCACACACACAAAGAACAGACAAAAAATGGAGTAATAAGGTAACAAATCATGTTACAGCATGAATGAGCCCCCAAAACAAGAACATCCTCCTAAAAAAAAACCCCAAACATGCAGAGACAAAAGATGCTATGAGAGATTGCATGATTCCATCTATCAGAAACATCAAGGACAGGCAAATCCATAAGGATAAAAAGTAGACTAGTAATGGCAGAGACTAGAGGGAGAGCCCATGATACTGGTTTCTAGGGTGAGGAACTAGGTAATGCTAGGGCTTATACACTCTTGTGTGTTGACTAACATCATTGAATTGTATCCAGTGATTCTTTTTAACTAATTAAAGTTAAAAAATTAGCCAGACAGTAGCACAGACTTGTAATCTCAACTGCTCAGAAGTCAGATGGATCAGTCCAGTTCAAGGCCAGTCTGGACAACTTGGTAAGACCTCCCTCAAAAAGTAAAAAGAAGACTGGTGGGAGAGTGCCTGCCTAGCTTACCTGAGACCTGAACCTAAAATTCAGACCTTAGTACTGAAAAAAAAATTGCAGCTTCTCATGGTGGTTTGAATGGAAGTGGTCTCCACATACTCATGTATTTGAGTGTTTGGTTCCAGGTTCGTGGAGTAAAGTTTAAAATGTATGGCCTTGTTGGAAGAGGTGTGTCACTGGGGGTGGGCTTTGTGGTTTCAGATGCCCATGCCAGGCCCAGTCTTGCTTCTCTCTGCATCTGCGGATGAGGATGTAAACGTTCAGCTATGGCTCCAGTGCCAGGCTTGCCCGCCTGCGGCCATGCTCCCCAACTAGGATGGTTCTAGACCAGCCCTCTGAAACTGTAAACAAGTCCCCAATTAAACGTTTAGCTACGGCTCCAGTGCCAGGCTTGCCCGCCTGCGGCCATGCTCACCAACTAGGATGGTTCTAGACCAGCCCTCTGAAACCGCAAGCAAGTCTTCCTTCTGCAAGTTGCCTTGGTCATGGAGCTTCTTCACAGCAATAGAACAGGACTAAGACATTCCTCGATTGTGTTAGCCACATTTCATGCACTCAACATACAGGGCCATTGGCAGTCACACTGGATAGCACAGATGCCAAAAGGTTTCACCATTGCAGAAACTTTTGTTCTGAATTTGTTTAATCGGCTCTGAAAAGGGATGAGAGTCCTCTTTGTCCATCAGTCTAGGAGGGGCGGGGCTACGTCCTTCTCCTCCTCCCTTGAAACCAGTTCTTTTTCCCTCCCAGTCATCGGGGGCTTATCTCTCGGCTATGACAGTTTTTATGGTATGGAAACAGTGAAGAGGCTTATAAAGAATCCTCTTAACTTCTGTGGGTTCCTAATGCAGGCCCAGTCCGTTACTCTGGGGTATCTGCCAACCACACATGAGTAGCATTACCAGCACAAACAGTGAAGAGCTGGGACTTCCACGTTTCTCTACATGTTGGGTATTTGGAAATTCAAATGCTTTCATAGGGAGCATTATTATTATTCGTAGCTATACTTTTAGGTCATTCAATCAATTTTTAAAATTAATTAATTAATTAATTTTGGTTTTCCAAGACAGCGTTTTTCTGTGTAGCTTTGGAACTTGTCCCAGAACTTGCTTTGTAGAACAGGCTGGTTTTGAACTCAGAAATCCGCTTACCTCTGCCTCCTGAGGACTAAAGGCATGCGCTACCACCACAAAATTCTATTTAATATACAATCAAATATTGCTCAAATTCTACTTAATATACAATTTAGATCCCCAAATACCAAGACCCGCTTTGATCTTTTGGCAGGTGGTAAGTGGAAGCTGTAACCAGATGGAAATCAGGAGACTGGCATAGAATCACTGAGGTGATGGTGTCTGAGAGGACTTCTTCCTGCCTCCAGAAAGAAGTCTAGGCAGATGGACTCAGATGAAGGCAGGAGTAATTGTATTAAACAAACTGCTGATAGAAAACAGGGTTCATTGGCAGACATAGAAGAAAAGATTAGTAAGAACTCAGGTTTGGTGGATAGGTTCTCTCCAATTTCTTTCTTTTTAAATAATCTTTTTTCTTTTTTCAGTAACTAGGTTTTGTGATGCTAAGCAAGTGTTCTACTATTAAGCTGTATCTCTGGGCCTCTGTGTGTTATTTGAACAGGATTCTGGCTGGGCTGTCCTTGATCATACAGTTCTCTTGCCTCAGCTTTCCAAGGACTGAGATTTCAGGTATGCACCATCATGCTCCTTGCTCTCTTCCATTTCCAAAATGAAGAAGAGCAACACACTCCCTCCAGCACGGCATTTCTCAGTTTTCTGGTCCAGGAGCTATATGCCATCCTGGGGCCACCCTGCTTCCATGACTGACCTGCTTTCGGAACTTCATCCATGTGCAGGTGATGGGCTGGGTACCAGTCACTTTCCCAAACAGCTCCACAGGCTCTCCTGCTCGAACCTTCTGGTCCTCAGGGAACTGGATGATTTGAGGGGGCATAGCTAGGAGGGAACAAGTAGAAAGTGAGGAAGGGGCCTTAGACACGCTGATCTCACTGGAACCGCTGGCCATGTTGGTCTACTGCTGTCTCTCTTCCCTTCCGGAATGTTCCAGATAAGCATGGAGGTACTGACCCCTGTTCCCAGAGATCTGAGTGGTGGGACCTTGCTAGCTTTGTTCTCTTTAGAATCCCCAGAAGTGACCCACACAATTTATGCAACATAGTTATTCACGGATTGGTTGTGGTAACATTTGTGCCCCCCCCCCCCCGTCATGGTCTGAATCTCTGTCCCAGCTCATTTCTTAGCTCAGTAGTAACTCGTGTCTAACTTTTCAGTCACCCTGGCTGGTAGGCTCAGTGTGCTTTGTGCCTTCAAACGTAGTTCCCAGGGACAACAAACAAGGATTACATGAAGCAGGGCCTTAAAGCAGTATGATGTGGGCCACCCCTATGCAGGGTAGACTGGAGGACTAAGGTCCAACTTAGCAGAAGGGACAGGAAAGCCACCAGCAGCCTGTGATAAGGCACACACAGATGGAGGCAGAGGAAGGAAGCAGGAGATGATATCGGGGAGGTGCCCACTGGGCATAGGTTCCCTAGAGAAGGAAGAGGCAGCTCAACATGTGGAGTTTGAACAAGGGAAGGGTCTCCTGACCACCACCCATACAGTCAGTTAAAAGGCAGAGGAGAAGGCCCTATTGCAAAAGACTCCCTTGTCCTCAGGTATGACTGTGGTTATTACCTGCTTTTGTAGGTGTCTTGGGGGCGGGTTTCTTTTTGACAGTTGCGTCACCTGAAACAAAGACATTTACAAGTTAGGAAGTTAAGAGGTCAGGTCTGTTTTCCCCAGAAAGCTCCTAGGTCACAGGAGGATGCTGTCCTGCCTGCTGGCCCCTCATTTATAGAAAGCCCTCATTCTACTTTGTCCCCCAACAGAACTCCTTGCCCTGATACAGACAGTGTTATGATCCAATGACTATCAGTTCTCAAGTGCCTTGGGGAGAGGTGGTAGAGGGTGGGGTGAGGCTAGAACCACGGGGACATAAGCTCTCAAAACTCTAATGCCCCTCAGAGTCCTAGTTAAAGATGATAACCAATAACTCACTAACAACATGCTCACTCTAACTTTCAGGAAATGCAGAAAGGAAATTATGTCAGATAAACCAACTAAAATTAGCCTTGGTATGGATCCAAGGGTCTCTGGCTTCCTTTGAGTCACAGACTGTGGCTGGTAGCTGTTTTTTTAAAAAAAACAAAACACAACACAGCACAACATAACAAAACAACAAAAATCCCCAAATCAAATGTTAGTTGAATGGATCAATGAATGAATGGACCCTGGGAGTGGTGGCTCATGCCTGTGATCTCCGCCCTTGGGAGGCTGAGTTAAGAGCATTATCCTGAGTTCAAAGGCAGCCTGGGCAGCATGGTGAGTTCCCAGCGAGCCTGGGATGCTCGACACCCTTGCAAGGCCCAACCCTCAAAAATCAGTGAATGAATATATCTTACTATCTTCCCTTCCTACTCTACTTTCTCCAACTCAACAAGAAAAATAACTCATACAGAAATGCCTCACAGCATATCTACTTCTCTGACTAAAATTATGATACACAGGCAGAAACACTTGCAATCATTTCTCATGGCTTGATTCATCTTTCTTTCATGTCATTTTTAAAAGTGAAGATAAAATTACATCATTCCTCCCCTTTTTTCTTCCCCCAACCCTTCCCTTTCTCTCATAAATTCATGAGCCCCTTTTCTTCAATTGTTGACAAATGATTTTTCTCCTCAGCCAAGAGAAGCCAGATTCAAAGGCTCCTTACTATATAATCCTACTTATCTGAAAGGTAAAACTCTAAGAATGGAGGACAGGTCAGTGGCTGCCAGAGGTGTTAGGGAAGGGTTGATAAACAGCACAGGGAAAGATAGCTTGGCGAGGGTGGTCACTAAATGACTGCTCAGATCATTCAGGGTGCACACAACTCTGTGCTACGGAAGCTGTGCAGGGAAAGACCCTTCACACAGGAGACCTGACATCAGGGTCCTGCACGAATCCTAGCCCTTGGGCTAGGGGACTTAGCTCAGCGATTGAATGCTTGCCTTAGCTCAGTGATTGACAAGCACAAGGCCCTGGTTTTTATTCCAATATCACAGAAAGCACACACACACACACACACGCACACACACACGTACATGCACACGCACACACACATACACACACATGCACACACACGTACATGCACACGCACACACACATACACACACACGTGGGGAGGAGGAGTCTGCAGCACTACTTACAGCCTAACTTATTATCCTCCCCAGTACTTAGCATATGACAAACTATATCTTCACTTGTTTTATTATCTGTCTTTCCTTTCCCACACGAAGTACAAGATTTTGAGGCAGAATGTTTCTGTTGTTCACTGTTACATAGCCAATGTACCTGACACAGTAGGCGGTTAATAAATTCTTACTAAATGAATGAATGGTGACCATTGAGTTACTTGGCTACTGCAAAACAGGGGGACAGCACTGGGACCAGGCATGGCTGTGGAACTGCTCTCTGATCACAGGTGATCTGGTAAACCCTGAGTATTTCCACGGAGGAGACAGTGCTACCACACAACTGGTGACTCTGAGAGGACAACAGGAAGGAGGGGTCCTGACAGAAAAACCTTAAGATCACAGGCTGGCAACTGTGGCCCAGTGGTTAGATCTAGGGAAAGGTCTGTTCCCCTCTGGCTGGCTGCCATGGATGATCCCTATCTTACTGCAAGCCTACTGTGTGCCATTCAGCCTGATCCCTATCTTACTGTAGGCCTACTGTGTGTCACTCAGTATACACTATGAGCCTGAGTGCTGGGGAGAAAACCAAACAGATGTAAGAACTTAGGACTTAGCTTTAAGGTTCTAAACATGAGGTAGTGTGGTCTACAAGAAAGGCTTTTATCCTTCTTCTTCCAAAAGGAAGACTTCTAGGACAGCTGAGAGGGTTTGAATATTGTCAGTGAATTAGACGATAGTGTTCTATTGATGTTTTTCTATTTTAATCATTACTAATGTAGTTTATAGAACACATTTGATTTTAGGGGAAAAACCAACACTAAACTATTCAAGTATTTAAGGTTTTATGGGTATAATTTTCTTTCAAGCTGCTCAAAAACATAATTATGTAAGCCTATATCTGCATGTGCATATAGAGGTAGAGAGATATGGAGAAAGAGGGAAAGGCTGAGGGATGCAGCCCAGTGGGGAGAGCACTTGCCTAGTGTGTAGTCAAGTCTGGTGGCCTGTAGTCAACCAGAAGCCACCTCCTACACCCACAGAAGGAAGAATATAGAAAAAGCAAACAGTAAAATGTCGATATATGAGGAATCTGAAGGATATGAAAGAATTGTTCATATTAAATCTTGCACTTTCTATTAGGCTGAAATTATTTCAAACTTAGAGTTAAATAGAAAGCTTTAAAAAAAAGTGTAGGGGCTGGAGAGATGGCTTAGTCATTAAGAGCACTTGATACTCTGTATTACAGAGTACCTACAGGTCAGTATTTCCCTACAGCTCAGCATCTCGCTACAGCTCAGCATCTCCCTACAGCTCAGCATCTCCCTACAGCTCAG